AAGTGAGGACACTATGGGCTCAAGAAGCGAAGTAACCTACTGAAAGCCACGCCGCTTGGAAGAAGCATGGAGATGTGGGAGGTGAGAGGGAAGGGTGAGTAGTGGAGAACTGACGGGGTTCAAGCAGGAAGTGCGCTCCAGCCCCTGGCAGGCCAGGTGGTCCACTGGCACTTGGACCGCTGCCCAAGGACAATGCTGTGCCAGCCTTTCTCCTGACTTCTGCAGGATTGCAGGTGGCTGCAAGGTAACCTTCATCGTGCAGTTGACTTTCTCTGGGCAGAGATCTAGCTGAAGCCAGTCTGTGCCTGTCTGGATGAGCCCCTGGCTTCAGACATGTCAGTCTTGATCCCTGCCGATACCAAGTCCCTGGACTGATACGCGAGACCACCATACAGACGGCCTCAACCTGCAGACGCCGCTGCCTCTCCTTCTCACCTTAGGGTCTTGGCACTTGTTACTTCTGCTGGAACATGCTCTTTTTCACTCAAGATTTCTTCTTTTTTTCGTTTGGCTTCACTGGATCTTAGTTGTGGCACGTGGGATCTAGTTCCCCAAACAGGGATCAAACCTGGGCCCCCTGTGATGGGACTGCAGACTTAGCCACTGGACCACCAGGGAAATCTCATCACCCAAGATTTTTGATCCTCCCTTGGCCACTGCCACCTAGTCATTCAGGACTCAGTTTAGACCCCCAGCTTCCTCCAGAGAGGCCTTCTCTGACCACTCCACCTAGATCAGTCCACTGGTATTCTTTGCTGCCTTCCCAGGACTTACTCTCTTCAAAACCCCATCATATCTGAACTTGTCTCGCTTCTTATTCTCTTTGCTTCTCTCTAGGACTGTGTTTCTCAACCTTACTTTCTCCTCACCACTCCCTACTAAGGAGTCTTTTTAGACATGTTTGTCTTAATTGCCCTGGCATAAGTCTGAATACCACAGCTGTGCTGGTATCTCTTTCTATGCTGTGTCCTCACCCCGCCCCCATGGAGAACTCATATACTAGAGCGTAAGCTCTGAGAGCAGGGGCCTTATTTGTCCTGTTCAGTGCTGGGCCCGAGGCACGGTAGACAGAGTAGTTACGGTATGAACGAAGGTCCAGAATCTCTGGGAGCACAAAGGAGATGTTCCTGCTGGAGTTGAAGGCAGGATAAGCAGGGAAGTCTTGGAAGACAGGACTCCAAAGTAGTCACATAAGCTGGGTAGGGTTGGCTGACTGAGGAAGGCAGAGGTGGGGAGGGTTACCAGTTAGAGGGCTCAGAGCTGGCCAAGGCTCCAGGGCCTGAAGCACTCTGGACTGTGGGGCTACGGCCGTCCCATGCTGGTGGCCGGGACTGCTGGAGGCAGGACCTTGAAAGTGGTCCCAGCCTTACTTGTCCTGGGGACCCTGGTTCTTGTCTCACCACTCCGAAGGGCCCCGATGCTAGATGGTAGAGTCCAAGCTCTCCCACAAACTGGCTCTTTGAAACTGTAGAGTGGGTGAGCAGGTGGGCCTTGTTGACTTGTGGGTCTCTAGCCTAGGAGTCCATGGTTCTCCCATGGAGGTCGTTAGCCACTACCTATCCCCAGGGGTCCTGAAAACCCCTACATGGATCCCATGGTAGCGGTCACAGCTACAAAGAGCAGCTTACCCCATTTTGCCCTGCCCCACACTGAGAATGCACGTGGTCCTTTAGGCTGGGTCTCCTGAAAGCCTCTGGGACATCAGAGACTGATCTCCCTGCTGCCCACCTTAGATCTGACCCCTGTCTACCACGGCAGCTCTGGCTCAAACCAGTGGGAGCCAGTGAGCCCCAGTGGGGGCTTATCTCTGCTTTTCCAGACCAGGGCAGCTCCGCAATCCTGTTTGTTTATCCAGAGCAGCCGCCTGCTGAGAAAATGGCTGTGTTTGTTTCCAAGTGTGTCGTGTGAACCATGGGCTAAATATACCCACACCACTGCTTCCCCGGCACCCGCCCTGGAACAGCACGCCCCGTTTTGCTCCTGCTCTCTCTGTGAAAGCAATCCCCAGGATCCTCTCCCCCTCCCTAGGAGGAGCTTCTGAAATGGAGATGAAGATTGTCCAAGCGCACAGCGGATGCACGGGTGGGGGCTGGGCCGATCAGAGCTGTGTCTCCGTGGCACCAGAGGAGAATGCTCCCTCCTCCCTGGGATGACTGTTCCTGGACAGGGAGCGCTTTGTGCCCTTGCAGGGACGGGGCCTGTTTACTCCAGCTCAGCCCAGAGCCGAAAATTTCCCGTGGCTGCCAGCCCTCGACTTCAGGAAAGTTCCCATCGAGGGCGCCAGGCCTCTCCCACTTTGGCTGCAGCCCAGTGTCCCTGGTTTCTTGTGGGACATTTGGCCCCTTGGGATGATTTCTGGCCATGGCTCCCTCTCCCATGCTCCTCACAGCCCAGGACTCTCCCTCATCACAGATCAATCTTTTGTGTGACTTCACCTGGGGCCACCTTTGCTTAGGACCAGAAAAATTTCAATTCCTGTAAGAATTTTCTGGTCCAACAAGAAACCCATGGAGGCTAAGCAGGATGAAGGCCAAAGAGTAGGGACGCTGGCTGCTGCCACTGCCCTTCTCTTTCCGGGCCCAAGGCCCCCTCCACCCCAGCCCCCACATAGGGAATAGTCCTGCTGTAGCAGCACCCCTTGTGGCTCAGCCGGTAAAGAACTCCCCTGCAATGCGGGAGACCTGGGTTGAGCAGATCCCCTGGAGAAGGGAAAAGCTACCCACTCCAGTATTCTGGCCTAGAGAATTCCATGGACTGTATAGTCCGTGGGGTCACAGAGTCGACACAACTGAGCGACCTTCACTCCCACAGCAGCACCCAGGCTGGGACCAGGCGGTTCTGGGCTTTGATCCTGGCTCCGCCCTCGTTCGCTGAGCGACCCAGGCAAGGTCTTCCGACTCTATACCTCAGCTGTTTCATCTGTGACATGGGGCTCAGATCGCTACATCTGAGGATTCTGATGAAGGTGAAGAGGATGACAGTGTCTGGAACTTAGGAGGCATGTAAAACCTTTGTTCTCCTCATGTATTTATTGATCACTGACTCTGTGCCAGACACTGTTTTGGGTTCTGGGTATATAGGAACAGGCAGCCTCTCTGCCTCGTCAAGCCATGACTACTGCAGGAGATCAGTAAAAGCGAAGACCCAAAAGGGCAGGCTCTGCTTCCACAAAGTGCTAAGAAGAAAAATAGAACATGGTGAGGGGATAGGTAGCAAGAGATCAGGGTGGGGGTACCATAGTAGACAAGGTGGCCAGGGAAGGCATCCCTGAGGACATGGCATTTGAACAGAGTTAGGAGTGAAATGAGGGAGCCTGGGGTCGAGTGCTCCAGGCCACAAGGGCTGTAGGCCCTGAGCTCAGCAGATGTTGCAGCGACAGCAGGGAGGCCCGTCAACTAGAGTGGAGTGTGCAGTGCGGAGGGGCTGGGGCCTGCTGGGCCTCACTGGACTTGGTGAGGACTCGATTCCGTGTGTGATAGGGAGCCTTGGACAGCTCGAGAACATGGAGTGACAGGGGTTCAGTGGTGGGGTTTTCCCCACCTGCCCACCTTCCCTTCCCAATGCCTTTTCCCCTTTCTAGAAGGACTCTGTTCTGGCTCCCTAATGGCTTAATAAATACAGAGGATTCTTTGAGTCAGGTTGTCAGTTCCGTGTGTATTACCCTCTGCTAGGTACCAGGGACATGAACGGACATGGCACTGTCATTCTAAGTGCAAGGAAAAGCTGTTGGTGTGCCACACTCTGACCTGTGTTTTAAAAATCTTGGCATGGAGTGAGGGGGTATCGTCACGACTAGAAGTAGGGCCCAGCAGATAGCGTAGTGAGCAAACTGTCCAGGTGGGACATGGAGCCAACCAGAAATGGCAGACACAGTCTGAGGGGGCCACCCAATGGCTCAGCCACTCTGGCCCAGGTAGAGTGTGGGCCCACAGTGTGAGTTCATGGTGGAGAAGCAAGAACACAGTCTCTGGAACCAGCCAGTGGTTCCCTCCCTGGGCAGTCAAAGCACACTGATCCTAGGTGCCAGACACCAGTTTTAGATTCTGGTTCCTCCAGAGTTGGGTGACCTGACCAACTTCCTCTGCACTCAGAGGCCAGGCTTTCTGGTCTGCCGGTGGGGGGAGACAGCCCGCACTGCAGCATTGTTGAGAGGATTAAAGGACAAATGGGGTGCAAGGTGCCCTCATTAAAGGGTGCTCCGCCTGCCCCACAGATTGGTTCCACCCTAGGCTGGGTCATTCAGCCCGCAGCCCCTCCTGCGTGGTATCACGTGCTTCCCTCCTGACTAGCTTTGGGGCAGAGGACTGTTGCTCACCTCCTCCTGGGCCCCGGGTCATGCCCCCTGGGGTGGGGGACAGGGCCTCATGGACCCCATCCCAGTCCTGCACTGCTGTTACCCTCTCCACTCCACCCTGCTCTGCCCACCCATCAGCCTGCCCTGGTCAGAGGCTCCCTCCAGATCTGCCCTGCCCCAGAATCACTCTGGGAGTTCCCCCTGTCTCTTTTCTCTCCCCTCCTCCCTCTCTCCCTCCTTTGCAGCAGTAGAATGCCTGGGGCCTAGTAGTTCTGTGCTGCCCTCAGGCTCAACTCCAGCTCCCTCCAAGCTTCCAGACCACAGGTGGTCCAGCTCTCACTCACCCCTTCAAGCTCATCTCCTCCCCTCTCCTCCTCTCCTGCTCCAGCCCCTTGGCCTCCCCCAGTTCCCTGCCCATCTCTTTCCCACCTCAGGTTCTGGAAGGACCACTTCCTAGCTGGCTGACCTTGGACGGAACTCTTCCCCCACTTTGCACCTCTTTTCTCAGCAGTAAAATGGGTTGTTTATCCCCAGCTGAGGGTCAGGAAGAAGAGCAGTCCTTAACCCTTTATCTGGCCCAGAGGGGGCACGGAAGGCTGCAGTTTTTCAACTCAGCAAGGTCATCACATGCCGACCACCCTCTTTGCCCCAGCCACATTCCTGTTTGAGAACTCAAACAGTTCCCTTCTCTTCTGTCTCCCTGCAGGACACTTTTGTGGAACTCTACGGGAACAATGCAGCAGCCGAGAGCCGGAAGGGCCAAGAGCGCTTCAACCGCTGGTTCCTGACGGGCATGACTGTGGCTGGTGTGGTTCTGCTGGGCTCGCTCTTCAGTCGGAAATGACCAGACACTGACCACCCACTCACCCACACACCCCCGTCCTCCCCCCACCCCATCTCTCCGTCCAGCCACCATTGCACCAGGAGAACCACTCCATGGAGCCCACAGCCACCCACACATCACAGGGTTGGGCCTCGACCTGGTCCCCCGCAATTAGTTTTCTAGAATTTACATGCTTCTGTGAGAGCCGCCTTCCTCAATTCTTGTGGCGTCAAAACCCACAAAGTTCCCTAGAATCTGCCCCGGTGGAAGCTAACAGGTGTCGGGGGTTGTGACTGGGGGCCGGAGTGCCCCACCTGATTGGTGGGTCCCCTTCCGCATTTAGGGTCCCTGAGCATGCTTTCTTGCCAGGGAGCTGGAAAGTTTTCTGACCCTTTTCCCCAGAGAGACAATAGATTGCCTTCATTTTGATGTCTGTGGCCTCAGAATTGATCATTTCCTGTCTCCCCCGTTCCCGGCCCTGGGTTCCTCGTTCATTCATCCCCACCCTCCCAAGAGCCACGTAGGGCCCACTTCTGACTAATTAGGGATTCAGGATGCTTGGGATAAAGAAATAAGGACCAGGACCCCCTCCCCACCTCTGACCCTGCCAAAGTCCCTCCCCCCAATCCCAGTGTCCTCTAGAGGCCTCTGGCTAGAGGCTGGCCTCACCCGAGATGGAGGGACTGTAGCTGCAGGAAGCACCCCATGCCAAAGCTGGGGTGGCCTTGCAGTTTAGCACCACCCCAGTTCTTCCCCTTCCCTGGCTCCATGACCATGACTGAGGGACCAACTGGGCCTGAGATAGGTGCCGCAGAGCTGTTTATGGCCTCAGCTGCCTCACTTCCTGCAAGAAGATACGCCTGTGGCGTCTTTGCCTTGGGCTGCTGCCCATGGGGTTCAGGGGCCGTGGCCCAGAGGTGAGGGGGAGCTACAGGGAGCAGCTATGGGAGCCCTAGGGTCTTCCTACCTCAGGCAGGAAGGGCAGGAAGGAGAGCCTTGTGCATGGGGTGGAGCTGGGACTGGCCGGAGGGGCCAGCCCTGCCTGGTCTGAACAATTTGTGCCCCACCCCCATTCAGCCTGAACAACCGGGCTGCCAAGGTCAGCATGGCATGGCCAGGAGCACTTCTGACCTCCCTATCTCTCCTCTGCTCCACCCATGGCCTGTCTCATCCCTGGGGGTCCAGGCCTAGCCCCGGCCACCCCGGGCTCTCTGCTGTACATATTTGAAACTAGTTTTTATTCCTTGTGAAGATGATATACTATTTTTGTTAAGCGTGTCTGTATTTATGTGTGAGGAGCTGCTGGCTTGCAGTGCGTGTGCACGTGGAGAGCTGGTGCCCGGAGATCGAACAGCCTGATGCTCCCTGCACCCCCCACCCCACCCTCCACCCTGGTCTGGGAAAGCCAGCCGGGGGTCCTGGCTCCTGAGAGGCACCTGTCCCTCCCCCAACCCCTACCCCACACTTTTTCCAGCTCTTTGAAATAGTCTGTGTGAAAGTGAAGGTGCAGTTCAGTAATAAAATGTGTTCTTCGTGAGCAAAGGGCCTGGCCTCTTGTGTGCTCCAGGAGGGGACGCTTGGCTGGCAGAAGAGGTGCAGGAGAGCTGGGTACCCGTGCTGACTCTGCTGCCCTAACCTTGGACAAGTCCCTTCTTCCTCTGTTTGGTCCTGAATTTCTCCACCTGTACACTGGGTTTTTATTGAGCACCTGCTATGTTCTGGGCACTGGGACTCTGTGTGAACATGACTGACACAGTCCTTGTCCTCAGGGGTTGATATTCTAGTGGGAGAAACAGTTGAGTGGCCACTTGGCAAGTGTTTACTGAGCCCTGCTCTGTGTAGGCACAGTCGTGAAAGAAAGTGAAAGTGTTGGTCTTGCTCAGTCATGTCCAACTCTTTATAAATCCATGGACTGTAGCCCGCCAGGCTCCTCTGTCCATGGAATTCTCCAGGCAAGAATACTGGAGTGGGTGGCCATTCTCTTCTCCAGGGGATCTTCCTGACCCAGGGATTGAACCCAGGTCTCCTGCATTGTAGGCAGATTCTCTACTGTCTCAGGCACCAGGCAATCCCAGCCCTAGGCACTGGGAATTCTGCAGAGAACAAAGCCCTTTCCTTTATGGAGCTTCCATTCTGGTCGAGGAGACAGGGAAATGAATATAAGGATGGCTCTGACTATTGCAGGGCAAAGGTGGAAACAGAATGACTGAGGAAGCATGGCAAGACATGAAAGACCTAGTGGGGAAGGAGATAAGTAGGGGTCAGACTCAAGATAACATTTTAAAGATAATCCCACAAGATCAGCTGATGGATTGGAGAGAGCTCTAGAGAGAAAGAGAAACCATGGATGATTCAAGGTTTTGAAGTAGTGATACCATTATATTCCCAAGGTGAAGCACTCATCTGAGGCCAAGAAGTTCATAGTGAATGCTCTAACAGCAGTTAATATGGAACCTGAGCTTGTCCAGGAGTCAGGGAGGGCTCCCTGGAGGAAGTGATATCAGAAACAGAGCCTGAAGAATCTATAAGACTTCACCAAAAGAAGCGGGGAGGCAGGAAGAGTGGTCCTGGTGAAGAAGCAAATGCACAGGACGATCAAGAATATTCTTCAGGCCGAAGGAAAGTTGTTGTGTCTGGTGGCTCCTGGGTCAATATGATGCTAGAGAGGTGGGATGGGGAGGACTGGATTTGATCCTGAGGGCAGTGAGAGCCAGAGGAAGGTTGTTAGAGAGTGATAAGGAAATGGCAACCCACTCCAGTGTTCTTGCCTGGAGAATCCCAGGGCCCGTGGGGCCTGGTGGGCTGCTGTCTATGGGGTCGCACAGAGTCGGACACGACTGAAATGACTTAGCCGCAGCAGTAGCATACCACTTAGACCCCAAAGCGCCCTCTGGCTGCTATGTGAAGAAGGCTCTGGAGGGAGAGCAGAGTGGAGAAGCCGTGGCTCGGTTAACCCTCCAGTTCTGAGGGTGGTCAGCCAGGTGTGTATCCTGGGTCGCCATTCCTGGTCTTTGGTCAAGTAACCTAGCCTATGTCCTAGCTTTCCCATCTGTGAAATGGGTAGGATTGCAGTACCCATCTCAAGCAATAGTGGTCAAAAGTGAATGAGAGAACCCAACAAAGCTTGGGTGAACTGGAAGTTGAGGGGGGATGCAGCGATGACCCTGCCATCAAGAAGAACCTCAAAAGGAAGAAGGAGGTGCTCATCAAGGAGTTCAACGTGGCTGTGGCCGGAGATCGGGAAGGGTCTGGAAAAAGGAGCAGGACTTCCAGAGGCAGGCCCTCCAGCTAGGGAGGCGGGCTCTCCAGCTGGGGGCGGGGGGCGGGCCAGAAGGCGGGACCTGCCACGGGCGCCCCTCCCCGTCTGCTTTCAGGAGCGAGCTTGACTGCCCCCTGGTGGCCAGGGGTTTCCACCTGAAAGCCACTCCCACCCCAGATGCCTGCTCCCAGTGCTTCAGAGGACCTGTCCGTCTCCTGACTGGCCAGCTTTCCGATGTGTCCCCCATCTTCTGCCCTCTTCACCAAGAAGGACGTCTACACTTCCAACCTTTAGGTACCGGATTCATAGATTTTCACGGCTCCTGGCTCAGGGTCACCATTCTCCAAAGCCTTCAGGCTTCTACATCTTTAGGCCCAGGATATGACCCTGGCCGGTAACCTAACCACTCAAGTCCCCTCTCCAGATTCTTGAGATTCTTCCAAAAACGTCTTTTTACAGAATTTTGTTGTTGTTGTTCAGTCACTAAGTCGTGTTCAACTCTTTGCAACTCCATGAACTGTAGCATGCCAGGGTCCTCTGTCCCTACTATCTCCCAGAGTTCGCTCAAATTCGTGTCCCTGCCACCCTCTTCTCATTTTGCCTTCAATCTTTCCCAGCATCAAGTCTTTTCCAGTGAGTCACCGCTTCACATCAGGTGGCCAAAATATTGGAGCTTCAGCAACAGTCCTTCCAATGAATATTCAGGGCTGATTTCTTTTTGGATTGACTGATCTTGCAGTCCTAGGGACTCTCAAAAGAGCCTTCTCCAGTACCACAATTTGAAAGCATCAATTCTTTCACATAATATGTAACTATATTCTGATCCATTTTTTTTACACAAAGAGTAACAGACACACTGTACCTGGTTTTTTTTTTTTTCTGCCTAAATAGTTTATCTTATAGAAGTTTCCATGTTCATACATGAATCCCTGATTGTTATACAGCTTCAGCAATTAACTCATGGCAGATTAAGTCTTTTTTCTAGCTGTATTATATTCCACAGATGTTTGAACCAGACCCTGAACTCCATGATTCCAACCTTAAACATGGCATGAAAAGTGAAAGTGAAGTCGCTCAGTCCTCTCTGACTCTTTGCAACCCTATCGACTGTAGCCCACCAGGCTTCTTTGTCCACGGGATTTTCCAGGCAAGAATACTGGAGTGGGTTGCCAGTTTCTTCTCCAGGGGGTCTTCCTGACCCAAGGATTGAATTCAGGTCTTCTGCATTGCAGGCAGACTCTTTACCCTCTGAGCCACCAGGGAATCCCAAACATGGCATGGCGCACACATAAAATATTGGAACTGCACACTGAGGAAAAGCTGGAAGGGATTTTGGATGTCTATGTGGGTCCTGGGGAAAAATTCATTTCCGTATATTTTTATGATGAGAAAAATATAGCAATATAACATTTCCTAGGATACGAAGAATTAACTTTGACTAAAATATCTAAATATATTATTTAAAATATATTCCTTAAAAAACTTGATCTTGTTCCTGTGAGTGCAACATTTTTTCTTGTCTAATTCATTTTTTAAAATTTTTTGCAACTTTGATATATAAGAGGTTTTATGATCAAAATGGTTTACACAATTCCTGATCAAGATTAATGATGATCTCTTCAAATTCTTGGTAGTCAGCACTACAAGACTTTGTCACCTCAAGTAGGTGATAAAAGAAAATGTTAAACTATTCCAGAACAAGTGAAATTATATTTTTAATGTTCCAATTGTTCTTCCCTTTTTTAAATTGACAAATACAATC